TACAAAGAGGAAGAGTATGGTGGAAAAATCCGGTGATATCAGAGGATGTTATGGTTACGTTATTTTCCCAACCGGTGGTCTGCAGACCCCTGCTCGTCTGCTGACGAACAATTTCATACATATGTATACAAGGTCTCGCACAAATGTAGAAGAGAATCTTCATAGACATGGACCCAGAAAAACATTTCCAGGTTACAGCCTGTTTTTCCGTTCTGGAATATCCAGGAACTTACCGCTGTAGAGGAAGGTGTTGGTGTGTCCCCCCACTACTACATCGATGTCGGGCACATCAGCGGCGATCTTCTGGTCCATTTCAAAGCCAGAATGTCCGAGGGCAATGAAGATTCTGAGGTTGGGATCCGTCGCTTTGAGGCGACCCACTTCCGACTTGATGCTCTGCACTTCTTCCAGAAACTCGACCTGCTCTGCCTGAGATATCAACTGTAAGCAATTCATGGGTTTATTGACAGTAGTTTTCATAAAGCCTGACTAATGAAGCTGTAAAAGAGAGCACCTTATTTATTAACACTTTTAATTGATTTGTGTTTTTGTCATGTTTTGATTTCTTGTCTGTTTAATTCTTCATGTATTTCTTTATCTACTGAACTGTTTATTTTCATATGCATTCTATATCGTGATATCAGAGCTTTCAATATATGGGATCTTAATTTGTAGAATCTAATTAGGAAATTACACATCGTCATTTACTCTGAAGTGGAAAGTTATGATGTTGGCGTAGAATCATATCTTCTTAGTCACCCTGTAGTCTCTTTCTTACCTTTGTTTCGGGAGTGACATACCCGATGACGGCCACTTTAACTCCGCCAAGATCAAAGACAACTGACTTTTTAAGGTTTGGCCTGTTTAAGTCTGGTTGCTTGCTAAGATCCAGGTTCGATGCCAGGATGGGAAATGTGGCGTTGTCGATAAAAGGCACCAATCCGTTGACGCCGTCATCAAATTCGTGGTTTCCAAGTGACTATGACATAAAAATATAATGTTTGCTTATACTTTGGTACTTGCCAGCTGAAATCATTAGGATATCAGGTATAAATTGTTTATAATTCATGCCCATACGAGATCACAGAAAAATTTCCCACACTGTGGGGGTCTGAATACGACGTTGCGACGAAAGGCTTTTTGACGTCTTATGAGCATACATTTCAGCAGACCATTTGTTAGATTTTCATGCCAAAAACTGGCATCGTCGTAGTGTGGTTTCTGCGATGGGATTGGTTTTTAGCCAGTGGTTTCGTCTGCAGTAAATTAAAATCTACTCCACTGAAACATTCAACATCGCAGATGACGAATTTGAAAATAAATTTGTGTGACAAGTGTTGTTGTGGTTCGTGACGTCATGTAGACTCGCAGGAAGTTACCAATGTCTCGGAGAAACATACAGCCTCAGAGCTGAAGATGGAGATTACTTTTCTCCGAAACGTTGGTATCTTCCTCCGAGTCTACATGACGTCACGATCCTTAACGACGACCTTGTCATCATCCTCAATGCTGTGAGAACCTCATACAGGCCTTTGCGTGCATGTACGCCTACTCCAAATTACGTAACTACGCAAAACGTTGGTTCATGGGTTAGTGGAATTTATGGCAACAAATTTAAAATGCCACTGAATTAGACCAACTATGCAGTAGGCTCGGTTCATTCATTTTTTCTAAAAAAAAAATTATTCATAAATGACATATTTGTCTCTTTTTTTTTTGCGATTTTAATGATGTTTTATCACCAGCTTTAATTTCTGGTTTTGAGTTTGTCGGTAAGTCGCGTCGTACGTCTTGGTTTGACATTCCTCATTTCGTTGTAGTCTGCAGTTCATCACAGCGATAGTTAATGTCAAATACTGACAAAACGTTCTTTCTGACGTCACACAAGAATACAAACAAATACGCGTGGGATGGATTTTCAAGCACAGACAATCTAAACTAACACGTAAATACGCAAGACATTATCATCATCAAATCATCAAGTCTACTACATATATAATTTACAAATTCTTTCGTAGATATTATGCATACGTCATGGACACATGTTCATCCACTGAAAACAAATTTTCTGAACCAGTCACGCGACAGAGTGATCCATCGCGCCTGACGAAGCCTGAAACTGTTTCCTTGTGCAAGGAATGCGCACTGTTGTATTATACAACTTTAAATAGCAATTACAACTAATTCGATACGATTTTCGACACGGTAGACGCAGTTAAATTACGAAAGGCCATCTCTTGGAAGGTCGATTTCAGCTTCGTGTGAAGCAGATACTTTGTTAAACCCGATAAAAATCGAACCCGCGTGACAATTTTAATAGATTGTAATATAAAATGTCATCGGCCCAATTCGTCCATTTTACCATCTGGTAAAAAAGTTTCCGGTTCCCGTAGGAGACCGGGTAGGGCCCAGGGTAGGTCTGGATGCCGTTGTGAAGAGAAAAACGCATGTTCTGCGTGAAATTGGAAGTGGGTGTGCCACAGGCTAATCCCCCCAATTATAGGGAAATCAAAATGTTCTCTCACCATTGCATCAGGTTTCAGCATGTTCGTCATTCTTGAAACAATCGGCCACTTGTAGAAGGTGTACATGTTTGTCCCTTGGTAGATGTCGCCGGCTATAAGGAACAGCGACTTTGTCTCTGCCTTCGAACTCCTCTCGCGGGCGAGAGTCACGGCCGTAGACACGCGGGCGAAGCCCCCGTAACACTGGTTCTTATCGGCCTCTTCCTTCGAGCAGACTCCCGAAGATTTGCTGGCTTGATCGAACCGAGAGTGCATGTCGTTCGTGTGAACGATCAGCAGCTTGAATGTGTCTGCAGGCGTCGCGACGCCCAGCATCCCCCCGCAGGTCAGCATCACCATAATCTTGCCAAACTTGGTCGTCATTTTTGTTCACACGCGAAACGTTGAATTGTCACACACTGGAAGTTGGAAGGTTTCACTCAAAATTAACTTTAAATCTTTATAACCTTTCATTTACAGTCAAGACTTAGGGAAATGTCTTTATCCTGAGAATACACGAAGTCCATAAGTACACTCTAGAAAAAAAAATCAGCGTTATTACATGTTAAAGTAGGTGGTACATATAACTGCGGCCGGGATTCGAACTTTGCGAGCTCATTGTGAGTACCAATATTTTGTTGAGAATTATCCACTGCCTGAAGTATTTTTTACACGCAATGTTTCAGGGGTTAGCTAGGTAATTGATTGTAATTATGTGATAAAATATTTTGCGGTTAGCGTCTAGTCTAGGGTTCGATCCCAGTGGTCGCTACAAATCTTAAAATAAAAGAATAATAAAAAATTGTCATTAAATGACAACAGATTACCTGAGGACGGAAAATCTATCAGTATTTCTCATACGGTAGGCAATGCACAGGTTCTAGCATTCTTATGTTCATCAACCTTTGTCAGAATCATTTACAGAATTGTAATCCACTTGTATTTGATGTCTTTCCTGTGTTTGTTACCCACTGCGTACGATCGTGAAAGAAATATCGTATATGAAACTTGCCATCCCACCATCTGGCTAGAGACACCGAGACAAAACACCGAAGCCAGACGCCATCGCTCTGGTAACTGGCCCCGATCTTTCGCCTGTAACCACTCAGAGCAGCCGACAGCATCCCCTCCCCCCACCAACACAAAAAATATATTAAGCTCTACGCCAGACTGATTAACTCACCTGTAGCCGTTGTATGTCGCCATAGACACACGGGAGAAATATGACGCAACAGATCTTGGCGCCTGTAGCAAAAGGACAGGTATTATTGACGGAGTCAGCGCCGCGCAGCGTCTGATACTGCATTTGTTGAACGCGAACTGACGGAAAACAGAAGGTGCGGTTTCCTGTCTGTTCTATATTGGCATACGTCAGGGCGAACACCGGTACTTCCGACAGTCTACACTTCCTGTTTGTACTCCGTGTGGTCATTTTAACTGTGATAAACTAAGAAATTATCAGGACCTCCCAACTAACCACTGTACTCGGTTATAGCGCATGCGTGTTTGTCGACTTACCCCCTCTCTCTAATTTTCCTTTGACAAACTTCAGGCCTGTCTGGTTTTTGGATGGTTTATTTGTTTTTGCATAAACCCACGGACTATTACGCAAGATATTTAAGTCGTGTTTGCTACGAAATTAGACAGAGAATGTGTTGGGATTTAACGCGGCCGTTTATAAACTGCATTACTTACTAATGAACCGTTTTATTTTAAACTTTCATATACTTTATTTCCGTTGTAACAATATCACTGCAAAGAACATCTGCGTAAAAGTAATTGTACAATGTTTCTTTCGTTTTTATGTTCAGTTCTGTAATTATATAATCAACAGAATATCAGGCAGCGAGAAAGGTTAATTGCCTGTTATTTAATGTCGTCATACTTTTGTTAGTTACAGTGGGGTAATAGCTAGATGTTTTCATATGGAACCGAAAACTGGGATTTACGCTCTGGTATGTATTAATCCGCGGACCAAACGCTAAGAGAACTAATTTTAGTGGTTAAATTGCGTGGGGACGTCCAGATGTAACTTAGTGTGCGTTTAGAAGGACAGAAAGTTGTATTCAGGGAAGATTTAGTAGAAAAATCTGCACATTTGGTGGTAGGATTCCGCGTTTGAATTATCTTTTTCCCCCTTCCGGATAACCTCGCTTCATAGTTTCATGTCTACAGGCGAAACACAGAATAATAGTTTTCAAAATGTCATATAAACCACACTTCTCTTATGCAGTACATTTTATAGCTTTGAAAGTCGCAGGTGTCTCACTTAGTGACGCATTAAAAGTTCATATAATTGCATTTTGCTCTACTCGGCAGTTTTCTTGGGACGAGAAGTCTGTGGCGCAACTCACGAACCTGATAACCCGAACGATTCTCATTTGAGAACTGACTATAAACGTGTTTTAATGGCCTATAGTGGAATTTTCAATTGCGTAAATTGTTTAATGTCGAAACAAGATTATCTAAAAGTTGATTGGAAAGAATGTGGAACGAAACGGTCGTAGTCATTGAAGTTACTGAGGAAACCCGCGAGAATCCCCATACATTGCCATTAGAGACACTAATTCTTCGGATCTCCAGCCAGAAACTCATTGTTTCGGATTAAACCAACGAGGAGTAAAGCATTTCCAGTGTCCTAAATCAATCCACTTTCGCTCTGAAGTAGTTCCTATGGCCACAGTGTGGCCCTGGAATCCAGACCGGTTTTGAAAGTCTACTTGCAAATGTTGAAGCGGTATATTCCTCCGAAACGTGTATTTTAAGATGTTATCCTTGAATCCGCATATACAGTTGCTAAAACCACGAAAAACCTCTGTCAGTAAAACGTGGGCTTGCTACAGATTCGATGACAGCTTTATCGTGATTACACCACTTCTTATCGTGCCAAGGCTGTGCCATGAAAACCTGTTTCTACGTTTCGTATGCACATCTGCGCTTATCCCTCGAATTGGGTGTGCAGTTGCGAATTTGGCATGAATTCAAATCCGCAAAGGAGCGCCGATTATTTACGCCAGTTCCATTCAGCGATGTCCTTGAGATACAATCAGCCAACCGAAGAATTCCCCATTTTTTATAGAACTCGATGTTTCAATGCCGTGTTCAGAAGAGAATATGCTCGCTAGCAAAATGTTTAGTTTAGTTCATGGAGCACACGGAATCTGTTGGCAGTGTCACATCCTTGTCTGTACCGGAAGACTTTATTTCCTCTCATATTATGCAAATTACGAAAACGTTATGAAGTTGCATTATGAATTAGTTTGTAATACATAATTTTTTTTTAATTTTTTTTTAATACACCTCATCTGACGAGGCCTCTGTAAATTTGGAGACCTTGGGTTTTCAACAGAATTTTGCTGAATCATTTTTAGTGGATGTTGTCGATGGATATTCTTTACGACACAAAAGCTGTGAACATCCAGTTGTGTTCTATTTGCCTTGATTTTTTTATATATATATATCGCTGTTGCAAAGTGAATTACGTTATATCTGTGTCTAATTTTCCATTTAATGAACATGTGAAAGTTGTTTATATTAGGAAATGAACAACCTTTTACGCACAAAAATAAAAAAAAAAACTTCTCATCAAATATACAGAATTTATATAAGTTATATTAAAAGTTTAAGATGAAGATAATAACTCATTAGGTAGGCGTACGTAAACATTGATATATATGTAAAATTAATAATATCCCTTCACTTTATGAAAGGCGATACTTGCAACACCAAAAATCACGAACGAGCGATATCTGACGCATGAAGTTAATTTCTGGAGTGCTTCATGTAAGGTGTCACTTTATTCCAGGTAATAACATGGGAACAGCAGAAGGGCCCCCCCCTCCCTTAAAGTGTAGCCAAGAGTGGGGAGCGAAGACTCCTTATGTCACTCGGCAGTGCCGCTGAACACTTGAAAGAAACAATCTAAAATGATGATATAATCAAGCGCTTCCTCTGACAATGGAAAAGTTTTCTGGTTACATAAATTTCTTCATGGCTGTCACTGTTCCAAGAGACGGTCTTATATCTGTGTTCCATGCAGCCGTTCGTTCAGTGTGAGAAAAGTTTCTGTGTGTACCATAATATAAAATTTAATCCATTTTATTTGTAGTTTTGTTGTCTCAGGATCTGTAGTGTTAAATGATAAGTAGATTAACTATTTGAAGCCGAGTGATATGTACATATACCACGTGATTTCATGTCTACCAACTCTACAAAATGCATATATTTCTTTCAACTGATTCTCAGTATAAACAGCTGCTATTTTCCTAAACTTCATTAGTGAACTGTTCTTTGTAATGGAGATGCATTTTCTTTGCAGTAGGAACTGATTAGTTAAATATTACTGATATGCCCGCTGGGAGGGACTAAGGAAAACTACGAAAACCTCAGGAAAGTCAATCTCCAGGCCCAGATTTTAACCAGGTGCCTCCCGAGTACGAAGCAAACTTGTCAACCAATTGACTGTGACATTACGTAACTTCTGTCGGAACTCCTTTGAGTTATCAGTCCATTTTTTTTACACGTTATGGAGGGAGTTTCTTTTTGTGTAGTGTGATTAGATTTCTATTGAAACAGGTATTAGGAAACTCGTACTCGTGCAGTGACCGACTGTGACGTGTGAGAGAGAGAAATTAGTGTTAATTTATTTTGAAGTTTGATAATATAACATTTAAGTTATTCCATTATCTGTGCGCTGTTATCTTCATTGATTCAGAACAAGATAGTCTATATAAAAGCGGCTACCTTACGAATGCATTTATTTACATTGAAATATAACCCAGTGATAGAACGAACTGAAATAGTTTCCTTCAGTTGTGGGCAGAATATCGCAGTGGCCAATTGTGTGTGATTATATACGGTGTCTGGTGAAGAGTTTAAAATGTCGGTGTTTTCAAACGGGGGCTTTTTCCGAGTAGGGTTATGTCTTGTTATTGTCGTGTCTGCTCTGTGTGAACCTGTTCGTGGTCGTGGAACAAAAGGTGGTGGCCGAGAACTGTTTGAGCTATCTCTTATTCATATAAATGATTTTCACGCCCGTTTCGAGCAGACGAGTCCATCATCGGGGATATGTTTAGAGGGACAGGAAGAATCCTGTGTTGGAGGTATTGCGCGGATCGCCACGGTGGTTAAAGACCTGGTGAAAGAGAGACCCAACCCAATTTTTTTGAACGCTGGTGATAACTTTCAGGGAACGCTGTGGTACACCAAGTTTAAATGGAATGTAACAGCTGAATTCATGAATATGCTACCACATGATGCTTTGGTAATTATTTTCTTGACTATTTATATTAAAACAGAGCATTTATCGACACTCGTGCGTAGTAAGCACCAAGAATTCAGAATCACTGTTACCCTGATCATTTAAGATAAAATCGAGCTTTAGTAATAGTATAGAAATCTGTCGCCTACCGACAAGTCCACGTTTCAGAAATACAACTGCTATTCCCGAAATTGGATACAAAACTTAACCAATCCAAACGAGTACTCAAAGTGTTCGCGAATTTACATTTGCATTAAGTTTGAAAAGAACGCGTTACAGGTAGGTCGTAATCGTCTATACTCATCTCCGAAACTACGGAACGGGTTTTAATAAAATGTCACGTCTTGTCTACACCGGCCTTTAAGAAGGCAGTCTTGTGGGATGTTGCTCTGTGTAGTCTGGTAGAAGTTTACCATCGTTTCAGAAGTTCTCAATGCCTCATTCATCAGGGCACATCTGGTCAGTTTGGACCAAGTGTAAAATCTTTACTACATGACATAAAATATTGGTCTAAATTTTATACAGATCTACACTTGAAATTCGTAACATTTATTTCTGTAAGGTGAATATTTACAAGAGGAAAATGTACATTTGTATAAGCTGAAAGAGTTCAGGGAGTCATGATTTGCAAAATCAGGTAAACTGATTTTTAAAAGCTATACAAACATGGTTATGGAATTTCATCATGATCTTAAGACAGGAATGCTAATTTTGTTAAAGGTAATATAAACATAGGTCCTAAGACAGAAGACACGTTGCAGTTGAAATTTCTGGACGTATCTTTACCCAGGCACTGTCGTATTCAATATCTAGTGCTATATAAATTGCAAAGTATGCATTTGGAAAATATTTATTATCGTATTCTACGTTAATATGGGTAATTTCTATTTTGTATTTAGGTATTCACATAGCCTAATTTCAATAAACAGTAAACTTTGGTTTCTCGTGGTTTTTGTAATTAATAAAGATGTTAAGCTGTTATATTTATAGAAAAAAATTTCCCACCTGACACAGCCCAGATTCTGATTGTTTTGTGAAGTGTAGGTTCAGATATTGCTATCAATGCTTTTATCACTAGATTGTCCATCATTAATGAACAATAGCATGTATTTAATTGCCACGTATTTATTTTCACAAATATTTATATCAACCATAGATAACATCAATTTTAAGAGAGAAAATTAGTCACCTGTTTAAAAAAACACGAAAAGTTAAAAGGTGTGGCTAATTGTATACTTAGTTATCAAACAGCCGAGTATGTCAGCTCATTTTTATCAAGTTTCTTGTAAATGGAAGATAATGCAGTTCAAACCAAGCTATTGTAAAGTTTTTCTTTGTCTTTCTTAGACTTTCTACGTGAAAGTTGGACAATACTTAAAATAATCAAGACTACCATCACTTCATTGTTTTGAGTACATATTCATCATCTACATTTTTTTAAAACGAGAGTGAAAAGGTTTATTACAAGGAAGTAAACCTGTAAACTTATTTTCCAAATACATTATTTACAATTTGCATACATTAACGATGATATCTCACTGCAGAAATGAATCTGTTGTAACAAGCAAATTGCATTGCACTTATACAACATGAAATTTTAACAATTTCGATAGTTTATACCACATACCAATTCTTTGTTTAATGAACCACTAATAAAGTTTAATTTCAGCTTCACATGTACATATATAGTATCAGTGTGAACCAGAATTATAATTTTAGTGTAGACACCCAGAAGCAAATTTAATTTAAATCTGTTGAGTCACTTCTGAGAGTCAAACAGTCTTTCCATGTTATGTCGTAGATATTTGAGTTGTCACTTTTCAAGAGATATCCTTAAAATAGTTCTGTATATTTTTCTGTTTCTCCCATTCAACTTATGCATTCAAAAGCATATTAAATTTCTTGTTAGAACTGCCTTAATAGCATTAGGAGAATGTTACACAACATTAGAAACATTAATATTAACATCTTTTGCAGACTTTGGGTAACCACGAATTTGATGATACAATCGCAGGAGTGATCCCATTCCTGGAAAATGTGAATGCTCCATTTGTTGTGGCCAACATTGATGATTCTGAAGAGCCTTCCATTCAGGGGAAGTACAAGAAGTCCATTGTTATTGAAAGGCAAGGCAGGAAGATTGGTATCCTTGGCTATGTTCTTCGTACATTTTATGTGAGTACAGATTGCTGAACTCTTCCTGAGGCAGGTGAATGTTGTCAGTGTTGGTCTTTTGGGTTGTAATGCCATGAGGAGCTGTAGGTAGATACCAACGTTACAGAGGAACGTACTGCCTCTATCTTCATTGCGAGTGGCATTACATCCTAGCAGACAACATTTATATTTTTATGGCTGTGAGAACCTCAAATCCTCCTTTTAGTCAATAATTTTCATCACAGATGCCAGCCATCGGACCATTGGACCGAGCTACTTGGCTTTATCAATTTCAATATTATCCTCCCATCTGTGCCTATGTATCCCTTGAGGTTTTCCAGTCAGTGTGAAAGTAATACTATGGTGGCGGAATCCAAAGCTTCAACACCATTATTTATTCATGTCATCCCACCTTAGCCATATGACCAGATTTCTTGCTTACATTATCATAATATTAGGTGACCTTAATGACAGGTAAAATTACAGATGCGTATATTTTATTATCTGGTGTTAGAAAGAAGAGTGGTAATACTGAGTGTGAACTGAGCCATTGTGCACATTACCAAGTTCACCGTGCTCATACCACAAATATGAATATAATTTACATTTATTACTGCCTTGGCTTTGTTACATTTTTAAAGGATTTGCTATAAGTTCTTACATCCTGGTGAGAGTATTACTACATATCAGTATCACTTCCAATGTAAACAAAGGAAACGATGTTTGTTATAACTGGACATCAACCATACGTTTCTGATGCAGGAATTATCTAGTACAGGGAAACTGAAATTCCTTGATGAAGTAGAGACAGTAAAGAAAGAAGCAGCAGAATTGAAGAGCCAAGGTGTGGACATTATTATCGCCTTGTCCCACGCGGGCCTCGATGTAGACCGTGAAGTGGCAGCAGCTGTGTCAGACGTAGATGTCATCGTTGGTGGTCATTCCCACAGCTTTCTGTTCTCAGGTAAATTAAGCACAGCATGAAACAGAACATTCATCAGTTGACATACAAGTACAAAGTGCTGAGAATGATATTTAGGTGTAGTAAAGATGAAGTGCCAGTCACAGTGGCCGCGCGGTCTGAGATGTGGGCCTTGTGCGCTTGGACACTGGGACCGTGAGTTCGAATCCCACTCAAGGCATGGATATTTGTCCGTGTCTTTGTGTGTTTTGCTGCCCTGTGTACAGGTAGAGGCCTTGCGATGGGCTGATTGCTTGTCCAAGGAGTCCTACCAAATGTCGATTGGAAATAATAATTATTTTTGTAGCACAGATATAATTCTAATTGTTTGTACTGCTGGGGGAATACTTTAGCACACAGAAAGAAAGAAATGCAACCTCTAATATCAAGCCAAATTAATGGTAGCATTCAGACATTTTTGAAACTTGCCTGTGGCACAATATTACCCTGACCGAGGATTTTCATGATTTCCCTCGGACATTCCAATTGAATGATTGGGTAATACCTTGAAATAAATGAAGACCACTTCCTCCTTAGTCCTATCATATTCGCTCATATCACTATATAGATTATAATTGTTTGTATGGCAGATGGATCATGACCAAAATATGATCCACAATAGACATACTTTTTTTTTTACTTAGGGGGATCTTAGTAAGAAACCCCACTTCTTAAAATGCATGTTTCAATTACAAATTAATTTTTGGCAATCTGTGAAAGCTTGGAATGTATCAAGTGATGTTGGTATGGATATATACCGAGATACTGAGAACGACACGTTCTTCAAGTGCCTGAGCACTGCGGGTCCAAACTTTTTTTTCATTGGCTTGATTTATAGACATTCGGTAGGACTCCTTGGACAAGGGATCGGCCCGTCGCAAGGCCTCTACCTGTACACAGGACAGCACAACACAGAAAAACGCGGACAAACATCCATAGCCAGCCATGGATATATACTACTTTTAATAATATCATGATGTAGTAGGAAAACATGTTTAGATTCAGTCAAAACCATATACTGTATAATGGGGCATATATATCCCTTGCAGACCTAAAAGAATAATGTAAACTTTTGAATGAAGTTTCTGGACCTTGCAGCAATGTCCTGTATGTCTTGTGTTCTTCATGTGTTCTGTAGCTTAAAAGTTGGCGTATTTATTCATACAGGAACCCCTCCCACCGGTGACTACCCTGTGGACAGCTATCCAGTGATCGTGGAACATCCTGGAGGGCATAAAGTGCTTATTGTCCAAGCTTACGCATATTCAAAATATGTGGGTAACATATCTGTCTGGTTTGATGATGAGGGAGAGTACATAGCATGGGAAGGGTCGCCTATACTTCTTGATTACTCCATTCCAGAAGGTATGGTCAAATGAGAATACTTAATATTATCAGGAATGAATTAAATTAAGACAGTGGTTCATTGAGGTATCTGGCTTGTGTGTAATCCAATGAGAAGTGTAAAAGCAGGTTTTAAAATTAATTCACAGACATTTTGTTGACACTTAGGTTTTCGTAAAAATCAGGTAATTTCATGTGAAATTTCAGGTTTTCACAGCAGTGTTTATGACGATGGCTGTTTTATGGGTTAGAGTGTAGTCTGGTAGAAGTTTACTGACGTATCAGAGGTACTTGCTGCCTCCATGAGTAGGGTGATGAGTAAGGGACATCACGCTTAATCATCACACAGCAAACTCCTCAGAAGCATCGAAAAACTTCTACCAGACTACAGGGCGCTACATCCCAGAATACAACCATCTTCAGGTAATTTCATGACAAGCTGAGTAATAGCTTGTTAAGGTAGAGTCTGCTGCATGAAGTTAATTATATTTTGTTGATTCTTTTATACATTTGTTATAAACCGAAACCTAGATGAACATGGTTCATTTCCTTTCAGGATCATGACTGATGTTGTTCATGGATTCTCTTAATATCTCTAGGCGAAGGCCAAGATAGAACCTTAAATATGCCATGTTTTTTTTTTCTCCATTGTCCCTCATACTTTATCTTTTGCAGTCGTGCTACTGTTTCTCATTCAACACTACATAAGTTTAGCAGTTGTATCATCATAAAATAACAGTAATATATTACTGGATATGAGACTGGGTGAGCGCTGGAGCTGTTGTGTTTGGTGCACAAATCTTTGTTTTATGTCATTCCAGGTTAAGGATTGAAACAAGTGGATAAGGGATAGTAGTATGATTTTTTTTTCTCCACAGATCCAGACGTTGTGAAAGCGATGAGGCCATGGAAAGAAATAATTGATGCAGAAGGAAGCCGTGTAATTGGCAGCACCAAAGTGTTCCTTGATGCTTCTAGTGGTGCTTGCAGGAAGGGGGAGTGTAACTTTGGAAATCTTATTACTAATGCTTTCATAGATGAGGTAACTTCACCGTCAAAAGCATGCACCTTTTTTTTACTATATGGGTACAATAAACATTCTGTCAAACTAGAAACAACTGTGGACATTTGTACTTCAATTTCAAGTCGTCATATACTTTTTAAACAGGGTATTTGCAATTACAGTTCTTCATTGATCATGATTCTAATTTATTTTAGATATAAATCTTTTTGATGTAAGTAGATCCTGTACTGCATGGAGTTAAAAATTAATTTTCCTTGTACTTCATTAAATATACTTCATATTAAAATACATTATAATAAAATAGATATTAATGATATTGTAACTTGAAAGAATTTTTGATGACAGTTTATAAGTTTAATTCCATTTGAGTCAGATGTAAAGTGGTAGTTCATATAATGTATAGGAAAATGTTATAATTTTTTTAAATTATTTTGTTGTCCTTAATACCAAGTCTGATTTGTTACCATGGTGAAAATCAAAACAGCTGCATTATGATTTTTTTATTGATATCATTTCTGAAGTAGTCTTATACTGATGACCTTAAAAAAAATGTTTCTCTACCATGTGCTGTGTAAACATAAGTCATAGTTTGCGATAGGTCTGACCAATTTACAGAGGCTGGTTTACAATTTAATTTAATTCATTTATGTTAAGAGATGTCAGATTAAATTATTTATCCTGTCATGATAATCTTTTGATCAGGTACTTTATTTATATATTTAATATATTTTTTCTGGGTTTGGGATGTTGAACCATGTATTCTGGTAGAAGTTTACCAACATTCAGAGGTGCTTACTGCCTTCATTATCAGGTCTATCATGGAGGTAATAAGTGCATCTGAAATGTCAGTAAACTTCTACCAGGGTAGACGGTACGATATCCCAGAAGACAACCGTCTTCAAATAACAAAATTTCTTACCTCAAATATGATAATCTGTCTTTTAACTGTTAATCATCAATTAGGACACTGCCTGAAAATTATTGCATATCCTGAAGTATTAAGCTTGTCATAGGGGTATTGAAGGAGGCATGAACCTTTCCAGTTTTGAGAAATCTCAATTTTTTTTTAATATTTTCTCCCAGTGCTTTCATCCATATAGCTTTGATGTTTAATTGTTATTCCAATGTGCATTAGAGTTCTCCCTTATACCAAATAAGTGCTTTATGCTAAAACTTTACAAACATGACTACAGTACAACAGAATGTGTTTATCTGGAAATACTATACCAGGGGGGTATCATCATGTTTGCTGTTGCAGTCTGTGAAACTGGCCCAACCAGGCTCCTGGACCAGAGCAGCTATTGCTCTCATAAACTCAGGAGGAATCCGGACTTCTATTTTTGAAACGGGAGCAGATGGAAGTATGGACATTATTATACTTATATCTTTAGACATATATTATATAATGATGGCAGTGTTCTCATCATTTTCAAATATATGTTTCTGTTACTTACCAATACCCAGGTTTTTGTTAATCCATTATCTGCAATTAATCAAAATGACTTTTCTTTTGTTGATACTTGGAAACATGTCTGTAACTCTTTTTCATGTACAGTCTGAATATTTAAGCCCACAGTAATTATTCACATTGCCAGATTTCCACATGCCAAGGCAAAATGTACTCTTAATAACTGAGCTACACACTACACAAATTAATTTTCTTTCCAGCAGTTGGCTAAAAAGTACAGCTGTTTGAATGCAGCATTTCTTTTTGGATTTGTAAATTTTGTTGCTACAGTCTTTCATGTCTATAATATGCAGAAGTTAATATACTACTCTTCTTTCAGACATCACATATGCAGATCTGTTGACAGCTCAGCCATTTGAAAACACAGTGGATATAATAGAGTTGCAGGGGAAACATCTACTTGAGGCACTAGAATTCTCTGTAAGCCGTTCTTATAGCAGCTTCCGAGGAAATGGACGACATAAGAGAGATTTAGAGGCAAGGGAGTTCAGTGGTCAGGGATTTCTCCAGATGTCAGGCAAGTCTTCTAGTATCTTAAATGCAATTACAGTTTAATAACTAAGTTGTTCTTTACTCACTGGTGCTTGAAAATTTGAATTAAACCTTTGCAGACACAGATAAATAGCACCTAACCCACCAATATCATTGCGTCATTCTGCCGTAAAAAAAATCATCCTTAAAATGTTCCACTGTGAATTTACAATATGCAACACATTTGTGTTTAATACTTTGCTTCCAAATTCTGAGAATGGTGGCTGGAAGTGCCCACCACCCACCATATATGGTAGAGTGACTGAAATATATAAAATGAAGGTCTGCACACAAACAAGAGACTCAGTGCCTAGCAGATTTTTAAATCACTGGGACGTCCTGTTTCAAGCATAAATGATTGATTACAGAGGAAGGTTGTTTTGTCATGTGAAGTAGGAGTCTCATATGACTGAAAAACTAAGAAACGCCTATGGTTGAAAATCATTTATAAATATTAGCACAATGGAAAGTGAAACGAAGACCATCCATGACGTGTGAAAAAGGCCTGTTTTAATAATGTTTTACTTATATTTTAAATTTTTTATGATGGGTTACATGGGATATTTCAGTCAGTAAAGTGACTGATTGTGGGGTAAGTATTTCACATGGTCAATATTCAAACAATAGGAACTGTGATCCTCTCAGAAAATATTTTCACCTTATTTACCAAAGTTTATTCTATTTTATGCAAGTTATAAAAGAAAATCAAACCAGTTCATAATAGTAGTTGAATTTATACAGCTTAGTGGTATTTAAAAGAGACCGCAAAGAGTTAATGGTATATAGGATTTGAGACTTTCGCGGCGAGTACAATCAATACAATCTTCTCCGGCAATCAGCCGCGTCAACTGGTTCCCTTTCTGCCTACTACCGGAATTTTGGCGAAATGCCAGGTAGTAAGCAGAGCCAAACAAACCAAGCGCTTGACTCCGCCCCCTAGCTCCTTGGGCCTGGGTCCGGACATGAGCACTGGTCCCGAGCTGGTATATACACATTCGACTTCCGAGATATCCAATCACATCAGAACCCTGATGATGGGGACAGAATTGGTTTACTACGGTAACCAGTTGATGCGGCTGATTGCCCGAGAAGATTTTATTGGTTAATGGTATGATATTTGACAGAGGGGCAATTTACCTTCACATTTTAGAATGGAATCCTGATTGCACTTGAAGCCAGAGTATGACAATGCACCTGACCCACGTTAAAAATTCAATTCTAATAATACTCATAGTATTATAGTCAGTTTGACGGTGTGTGTATTGCAGGTATACAAGTAACATTTGACCTGAGCCGGCCTGTGATGAGTCGAGTGGTCAGAGTAGCAGTCAGGTGTGCAGAGTGTCGTGTGCCTGAGTATGAGCCCCTGAACCTGGAGAAGTGGTATCAGATTTCTCTGTGTTCATACCTTGTGAGTGGAGGAGATGGATTCACAGTCATTGCAAACAATGCCCGCAATCATTTCACAGGTCTGTAAGATAAGCATTTTTCACAGAACATGGTCTGGACTTTTCTTTGGAATGAACGCAGTTTGGATCTTGGCTTGGTTACCACATTAATTTTATATTTAAAATTGTACTCATGGTGTAATAAGGGTACCTCAGTCAGTAAAGTGACTGAACTGTGGGCTGGATGACCAGGGAGGATATTCAGTTTCATCCATACTGTACATAACTTGAGTGTATTTTAAGTTCAATCAGAGCACATTTTATTTTGCAGGGCGTGTAGACTATGAGGTTCTGATTGATTATATCAGCAAGAACAGCCCCATTATCACAGGGATAGAAGAAAACATTCATATCACCCAGGAAACTGGCTGAAGTGCTGCTTCCATTAAACAAAAATCGTGAACATGTGCTGTAGTAACTTAGACCTGCATGTGTATTATGTATCATTTTTAGAGTGCACAAAACTAAATAAATTTGAAAAATTTCAACTTCAAAAAAACTTCATATTTTTCGAAAGTTTTAGGTTCTGTGTGATTTTTAGACAGTTTCCAGCATTTTTCGATTTTTTAAAAATTTTGAAAAATTTAAAAGATATTTTAAATTCTCCCCAACCGATCTTCACCATAACGGGTCTCTGCTAGACACGTTCTCCGCCACACACGAAGTCTACTAGAACCAGTGTCTGCCAAACCGAGTCTCTACACGAATAGGTCTCTGCATCACACGTTCTGCCTCAACAGCTCTCTGCCGGACACGGTCCGTGCTTCAACCGGTCTCTGCTTGACTGGGTCGGTGCCTCAAACGTCTCTGCTGTGCAAGGTCTGTGATTCAACCTATCTCTGCTTGACACGTTCTGTCTCTCACGGTCTCTAAAATCTCCCCAAGCGATGCCTGCCAAATTCGGTGAATGACTAACCCAGTCTCTGCCGGACTCGGCCTCTATGTCGCCCGGTTGCTGCCTGCCTTGGTGTCTGCACCAACCGGCCTCTGCAGGACTCGGTCTCTGCCTTACGTGTTGCCTGCCGCACCAGAGCTTTTTAGAGGCGGCACGTTAGAGCCATGTCATACAGAGACCGAGGCAGGCACAGACCGCATTCGTCAGAAACACAGTACATCAGAAACAGTCCGACAGAGACTGGTCCTGCAAGCCATCAGGTGGTGGAAATTTTGAAAAATTTCGAAATTTTAAAAAAATAAAAAATGCTACAAATTGTCTTAAAAGCGCACAAAACCAAAAAAAAATTGAAAAATTTTACATTGAAATTTTTTCAAAATTTTTAAGAAATTTTGGTTTTGTGCGCTTTTCAGACAATTTCCAGCATTTTATGATTTTTCGAAAATTTTGAAAAATTTTAATATTTTTTTCTAAACTCTCCCCAAGCGATGCCTGCCAAACTCGGTGAATGACTAACTCTGTCTCCAACCAACCAACCAACCAAAAAGCTAACTGAGGGCGGAGGCCTGCGCAAGCGCAAGCATCGTCCCTACCTAGATGAAACCATTCCTGCGCACAAGGCGCATTGCTGGAAATGGTAAACGGTATTAGTATAAAAAACGGAAATTTTGCTAACGCTAGCGGGTCTGTCTCTGCCGGACTCGGTCCTATATAGTCCGGTTGCTGACTGCCTCGGTGTCTGCACCAACCGGCCTTTGCAGGACTCTGTCTCTGCCTTACGTGATCCGCCGCACGAGAGCTTTTTAGAAGCTGCACGTCAGAGGCGTCTCATACAGAGACCGGTCCGTGGGAGACCGTCTCAGACACAGACCGCATTCGTCAGAAACACAG